ATAACCCTTTCCTCAAGCGCTTTACATTTTGAGAAATTTAGAAAAGTTGGAAAATTCGATAAAATACATTAGTTTTTTTATTCGCGAAATTGTTGCAAATTTCAACAGTTTTCAAGGAAGAAATACAAGCGCGCAAAAGCTCCTATTGACTCGATGTTGCACATGCATTTACCAGTTACCCAAAGCTTTAAGACTGCGTAAAAATGTATTGCGAAATAACTTTTGTTTGCACCCTGATTGTGTGCTGTTTTGGTGGTCGAAATAACGTCCAACCTTAATCGCGAAACATCGATTCTGGTATGTCAAAAATTCAAAATATGATTAAACTACATGAAAGTTTTAAGTTGTAAAAGTGTTGTCTAATTGCCCCCATGATTAAGTGCTTACAAGGTTCTTTAGAGGCGGATGAGGAGAGAAACTTCGTAAACGGGAGTGACCTAATGGGAAGCGCAAAAAACGTCGTGAGTTATCACTAGTAAAGAGTAATCACTTTCTACGTGGATTTGGGTTTGCGGAATTGTGAAAAGAGGAGTCGCTATAATGGCCGAATTTATACTATATACGGATTATCCGTGACTAGACGGATAATAAGCCAGACTACTAGTTCGTCTAGGTAAAAATTCGTGGGATGAATTAAGAATGGGTTTAGGCTTCGACTTAAGGGAAAAAATTGGCACCAGTCTCCTAAAGAGACAACAAAAACCCATCTTGTTTTCCGTCTTGATGTAAATTGAGAGACAGGTTAGCCGCCGCAGCAGAATTTTCCGTCCGTTAGTACGTCTATAAGTGTTGACAGACGCACTCACGGCACAATACAGTCAACTCGCTGAAAAACAAAATTAACTCATGGCAAAACAAAACCAACTATAAATAGTGATGGCAAGTGATGAGTGTTGAAGGGTAAGAACTTTGCTTATTTAATATGCGGATGACTTAACGCTTTTTATTCTATTGAAGTTTGTGGAAGCGGATTGGATGGTCGAATATTCCATAAGCTAGAGATAGGTTCTCATGGGAATATGTCTCGAAAAACTCCTATAGTTGTTTACATGTAAAGGTTTTTTTTCCATGCAAAGGAAAAGCTCACTCCGTTGTCGTGAGCATATAACTATCCCAGTATTACCTTGGAACGTTCCGAAGGAACTACGTAAAGAATGGAAATCAGATCAGACAGCGTTCTGGCTATTCAGCAGTCAACTTACCCTAGCAGTTTCCCTGTAAAAGAAGATAAGAAGTTTCCACCCATGAAGTAATCAGGAGAGGTTTCCCTCGACTTCAGCGCATGTGGCGGGATCAGAGGAAAATCAAATATCTTCATGTGCCTACTGTCGTCAGAATCACCCATGGTTTCAATGTACCGTTGTGACCAATGTCCAAACGCGCAAAGATATTTTGCGAAGCATTGGTGTTTTTTTTGATTTGCATCAAGAAAAATTATATCAATGGGAATTGTCATTCTCGATCACGTTGCAGCAACTGTCAAGGGCCCCATTACTTCAGCATTTGTTATCCACGTGGGAAATCACCTAAATTCAAAGACCCTGAAACGCAAAAGAGCCAAAGTACAGTTGGTAAGGCAAGGCAGGAGTCATATGCCAACATTAGTGTGTTGGCACCAAGGCACTGATCTCCCCCAGATAGCTGAAGCAACCGTATGTACAGTCCATATACAGGAGAGGTCGTACTCTATTGATGAAGCCAGCCGGAGAAATCAACTGTCACTGTGAAATTCTAGGTCAAAAACAATCAAACCGTTTGGATTAAACACTGGAAATCACCAACAATGCCAGGTAATGCAACTATGCATAGATATGATTTGAAGTGGTTATATTGCAATTTCTACCATCCGTGCGCCGGTTATTTGTTCTCCATTTCGAGGTCAGCACTGTCCAGAAAAACGGCGAGAGTTTACCCACATTTTGCAGGTTTAACCTTCGCTCATAATTGCGAAGAAGAAGTCAGAAGCACAGATTGACATATTGGTTGGCGCGGACCATTACTGGAATCTTTTTATTTGTATAGTAGTCCAGGGGTCGTCCAGGAGAACCAAAAGTCAACGGTCATCAATACAAAGCTGGGTTGGGCTCTGTTCTGGTCCAGTTCATTGCCCGGTATCTTCGTCAAGCACCATTGGGAGGGAGTTTTAGCATCGACTACGGCGATGGTAGCGAAAACGTCACTTTTAAAATGAATTCGCGTTGTTTCAAACTTTGTCGCGTTTATTCCAAAGAGCCGCGCGAAAGTGTCAAATGTGGGCGAATTTCCTTGAAAATGACTTTCTGGGGACCACTCTTAAGTTAAGAAAAAGAAATGGATGCGGAGCAAAACAGGTCAGGGTTTGTCTGCGAGTGTGCAAGGGTTCTGTGATGTATCAGTAAGAGAATATGCAACTGTAGTGTATTTAAGAAAGGAAACACTGGAAGGGACATACCCGAGGTTTGTGACATCAAAGACAATGGTCGCACCTTTGCATTCTTATGATTCTCCTTTAAACACGGCTGGACCAGTCGTTGAAATTAGTCCCTCAGAAAAAGGCCATTAATATGTTGAAGGCTGCCTTAAAAGTCTTCCTCCGTTGTTTGAATTGGTTACGCGAGGATGTTCTCGATTAGCAACGAAATGATGAAAATTTCGAGTAAATGCTTCTTCTTCTAGGGAATGGACTTTTTAGAGGACTTTGGAAGCTCGGCCGAGTAGAAAGACTTATTACAGACAAAGACGAAATCATCCGTAGTGCAGTGGTGATGTCTACAACACCCAAGGGAAAGGCTACAAAACCACGACGCCCAGTTGAAAGGCTGTATCTACAAGTAACTGGCATTAAAATAAGCAAGATGATATTTTACGACTGAGAACCTTGGCCTGCCTCACGGGACAGCTGACGTAGGAGCAGAACAGCGGCCCCGACGGATGACTGCAAGCAGAGCAGAGAAAGCAGGCAAGAGAGAAGATTGTTAATTGACAATCAGTCACCTTCGAAACACTGAACACTTAGATTGTGAATTTCGTTTTTTAAATAGACGTGAACATTTCTTTTAAGGACAGAGAGCACTTTTTTGATCATTTATTTGCTTTCAAATTAAGTTGACCATGATGACGTTATTGACCAGCAGGAAGGAGAATGTCAAAGATTTCTAACAGTGCCATGGGGACGTGGACCCCGCGGCTCTGTAGAAAAAAAAAATGTGTTCGATCGAAGTATCGCATGTTGTAGTGTGTTATTAGAACGTAGACTGTATTTACGAATGTTTTATAATGGGGAGGAAGCGAGTTTCCATCCGAGTAATTTGACAATATTTTGCCCGTGCTAAATGTGGAGAACAGTAAAAACCCGCGACAAAGAACCTGCATTTTCCCAAGTTAACCTAAACAGGTTCTTACATAAAGGGTAATTAGCACAAGTTTAGGCTAGTATCTAGGTTCTTTAATAGGTTTTAATTTTCTGAAGAAAAAATAATACATTGTAGCCAGGAGGATTTAGTGGTATTTAGCTTATTCCATAAAATTTGCATACCAACTTAATATTTATGATCTTATTTGCCCAAGTATACACATGCATGTTGACTAAGGCATCACATTCTTGGGTTTTGCTTCTAACAGGCCTCAAAGAAGTTCTTTTTCCTATTAAAGGACGTTCTGCTTGCCCCTTTCTTTACCATATATAGTGAAAGATGAAGAATACACTTATAGATTATAGAAAAACAGCAGGTGGATCGTCTTTGTGTCTATTGGTCTGGATAACCTATAGCCGTCCGTTGCAACTGGATTTAAGCACGGTGTAAAGAGACGAGGAGAGAGGGCGACACCTTGAGATGGTCCTTAATAGTGCGGGAGATTTCAATTCCACCCTCAGTGTCAGCCATTATCTTGGTGTTCCATCTGGGGACTAGATGTCTAATCACTCTTCAGAGCTAGTAGGAGAAGAAATACACTTTCATAATATCCCAGAGCCATTTTGATCCACACAATCTTACGCTTTCTTCAAATCTAAGCACGCCATACTCAGGTTTGTTTCGCCCTGTTACAGATCACGGCGACCATTGTGTCAATCCATTATCTGATGTGCCGCTACATAGTTGTCTGCCACCTCTTTGCCCACCCTCCATCAAGTCAAACTCACTGAGATGATTGTTCATGGGGCCCAAGTGTTTTGTAAATTTAGTGCTAATTATGATGTGAGAGACTCAGTTCACAAACTTGCCTTGCCTAAGCCTAGAACAGAGCACCTTAGGCGCAGCTTTTCCTATTGCGTTCCCGCCTTGTGGAATTCTCTGCCTCAAGGTCTAAGGGAATGTAACTCCCTGGTGGTTCTCAAAGAGAAGCTTAAAAGTTACTACTCTCGTTTAAGCTCCCACACGACAATTATTTAAGTGATTTAGATTTTAATACTTTACTTTTATTTAGTATGTACTTTTTAAACTGATGATTTCCCGTGTATAAATAAATGAATGAATGAATCTTTGTCTTTCCCATGTAATTAACCAGCTCAGTGGTAGAGATCTTTCTGGTTCTTGTTTTATTGGGGCGCGGTTTTTTCTTCCTCTGTTTCTAAGTTTCCTATTTTCTATGAGGCGTTCGATGTCTGCCTTTGGGATATTATTGTCATTATTACAATTACTTGTCTGGTGTATGTGAGTCTTTGATTAATGATATGGATTAAATGACTCCTAATTCAACATCAAGGCTATTTCGTAGGCTACATCTTTTTAATCCGCCGCCATTACCTGACCAATAGGTCGGCCAACAACATGGGAGCAGGCTCCGTATTAGGAAAAGGGAGGAGTAACGGAGTCAGCGCGAAAAAGCATGCAGGCTAAAAGAGCCGGTGTCAGAGGAGGGAAAAGGGGCGGTGGAGTTCGGAGACATCTCATTGATTCCGCTGACCCGCCCTCTATTAATAAAACTGTCATTGAAATTCACTCAAAATAAGAAAAACTAATGTACACAAGATTTACCGATAAAGATATTCCACCCTCAAATAGATACTTCAAGCGGGGGAAATGGAAGGCACACTCAGAATTGACGATCGGCCCGGACAAAGCAGCAAGAGAGGAGGCTTATCCATAAAGTACAAGGTCATTGCTATAACAGTTGTAGTTGTGCTTGTTGTTGGCACTTCTTTAGTTCTCTTCTTTGATCCTGGTCGAAAAAATTCCAGTTCAAAAGAATCCAGCAGCAGCGGCAACAGAAAGAAGCGAGCCTTTGCTAAGTCAGGTGAGGTTCAGTGTAAGAAATGATGGGTCTTACGACCAAGAGAGTAATAACCTCGAAATCTAAGACCCAAAAACTATAAAAGTCCCTGATTTTCTTTAAATCAGACATGCGATATTATTACTCGAACCGACCCCGGTTAGAGCAAGACTTTGCTCTAAGAAGAATCATAGGGATCCCAAAGGCTCTCAGCCATAAAATCTGGGGTACCCAGCTCCTATTACATAGTATACTAAAATATCTTGTTGCTTTTTATCTAATACTTTACCTCTTTAAAATTTCAAGACCCCCCTTCAATAACAATAATCTTTCTCAGGACCCCCTTCTTTGCAGTGGCTAAAATTTCGAGTCCCCTCATTTTCTCACCCATCTCTCCCCTCCGATAAATAATGAACTGTCCCTTATGCCCCAGTGCACACGTGGGATACTTTTGGTTAAATAAAACTCCTTGGGGAAAGTGAACGAAATTTAAATTGTCCTCAAATTTGCTTTATAGCTGACAAGACAAATCAGCTGTCATGTGACGTGGCGATAATTGGTGGAGGTGTTTCCGGTTTGTATGTAGCCGAAACTCTCCTCAGACTCCACAAAGAGACTGATGTCTGCTTGTTTGAAAGAAGCGATCGCGTTGGTGGGCGAATACACGATTATACTTTTCAGCGAATGCCTGGTGTCCCAGTTAGTAAGTTGTTTTAAGAATGACGTGAAATCTTACCTGGCAGATATAGTTTTAAAACACTATTAACCGTGAATTCAGATACCTTTTTACTCAAAAGAGCGGTGCACTTAAGCTCTGCACTTTCCCGGGAACAGTGGAACGCTTATAAATTTTTGACATGGTCAGTGTTTTAATGCTTATTCGACTGGTATTGAAGCTATTATACGATTATTACAGGCAAGGATCTAAGATAAATACTGACCGATTTCCTCTTCATTCCTAAGCTCAAGCTTCATGGGGGGTCCGGGAGCATGCTCTACTGGAAAAGTTTTAGATTTTTAGACGGAATCGATCAGAAATTTAGTAATTTCAATTATCAGTGGACAAAAAGCTTGTACCAGAATAATTTAAACGATATCGCATTCCTTTTTACATTTTTCAAGGGTTGTAGATGTAATTAGTTGTCTGTAATAACCCAAAGACTATTTCTCATGGGAGCCCGCAAAAATAAATGTCAAATTTCACAAGAATTGTGAAAACACAGGTGAAATTGTCAAAATTTCGTGGGTAAAGATCTCATTTGGTGAGACTGAGACTTGGGAAACTGCCAATCTTCAATTCCACGAAAAAAAGCTTCCTGTTGGTTGTCGCTATTTAAACGCTTACTTTGTTTATTATAATTATTTATTCAATGAATATTTGCTCAGCCCATTAGAATGTAGACGGCTTGCAGTCCGCCTTTTGTCTCAAAATTCGTCTAGTTCTTATCTCAGCCAGCGCGATTGCAAACCACGACGTTCGTGGCTTCGCCGCTCGCGTGTTTGGGTTTCGCGTGCTGTAACTTTGGAAAGAAAAATAAGAGACTGCTCGAAATCTAACCAGAATGTCTAGGGTAAATTAGTTAATTCCCCCTTTTAAACTTTGGCTTGTGAGTATCTGCCTATTTGTTCATGTACTGTTAGGTTTGGGCGCGTGGCGTGTGGACGAAACCCACTCACTAGTTTGGTAAGTCCTTTTTTGTTGCTGCTTCGCAAAATGGGTACCCTTTTCGCTAACCATTCGCAAACTCATTAATTCTGTCCTACAGTCAAAAGCCAATAAAGGACGACCATTTGAGTCAGGTGGATGAATCATGATACCTAATGAAACACCAGATAAAACCCCATTAGGCTTTCATCTGAGGGGAAACATGTTTTTCATCTGTGATCAAGCATTTTAATGGGATGTTTTATTGATTAACAAACTCAGACATGGAAACAATGCAATACCAGAGAAAACATGTCACTGCATAATTTCGTATTGCTTCATTCGAGAATTTAAGACATTCCAAAAACTCGGGCTTCGTGCTTCATCGCCGATTCCAAACACCTTTCATCTGTTTCTCGGTGTTTGGAATAGACTGCGAGTAGTCCCCATTTTTCCTTAGGGATAGTAGAACAGGAGGGCATTTTGCATGCGCATTTGTGTATCCGCTGAACGACAATAGCGTGGGCGCATCAAATCTGATGGCGGGAAATCGAAAACCCACCCGTAAAGTTACAGTCCTTTTAAAAGCCATTTCGCATTTCGTTGGTGCTTTGAATACCCTACTTTCTTAGAGGGGGTTAAAGGAGGGGGGGGAGGGTCCTACGCACGAATCACGAAAATTAAAAATTGACTTCCCTGTAGAATTTGTCTTCAGTTGTTCTATGGTTTGATTTCCAAACTCGTGGTTTTCCTTATCAGGGACGAAATGCATCGTAGCAATGTTCAGCTGCTTTAAGGTGGCTCGATGCAGTTTTTCAGGGTCAATACCTCCCAAGTTTGAGCATAAACTACGTCGCTATAAACAAAGTTTTGGAAAAATTGCCACCACAGTTGTATTAGAGGAAGATGAAAATGTGTTATGATGAGGGTTGCAACGGCATCGGAGTTGTCATAGCAACGAAATGACGCTATTACCTATTTTACTTGCAGCAGTATATCTCGGCACTGGAAACTGTTCTTCGAAAATCATTCACGGGAGCTTTTTCCTCCAATAGCAGCCTCGATGTTCGTGAAGTTTAAGCGAAATCTGTAAGAGCGTGATCGAGATATTTTGGGATAAAGTTTTTATTGTTAGAAACACAGTAAAAAATGGACAATATTATTGTTTGGCCGTTATCTGTAGAAAATGAGAGGCTCACACCTGTAAACACAAAATTTCTGCCGAAATATTAGCGAATTGTAGCCCTTATTTTACTGCCGTACAATATATCAATAATCTTGAAACTAAAAGGTCATATAAAAGGACGGTTAATCTCAAGAATCTTAATTTTTTAAAAAATCTATCTAGCGGTTTAAAAATTGTTCGCTAATTTGTTATATTTATTTGCATAATAAAATGTAAACAAACGGTGTACCATCAAACTAAGGTGGAAAAAAATCAGAATTCAAGCTGATTGCTGTACTTTTTTTCCTTTGTATAACTAAATGATAGAATATTCTTATTTTCAAAACACAATCTTACTGGCATCATTATATCGATTTAAATTTATAGTTGAAGTGCGTGTATTTTATTTCTCAACGAACACGTACCGGAGAAGAAAGCTAAAATTACTTCAGAAGGCGAGTTTTCACAGCCTTCATCAAAGCGCCATTCATTCGCAGAAGTATTCTTAGTTTCATTAATCATTAACTTAATCTGGGGAGAAACGCAAGATTTCGAGATAAACAAGCCAGAGAAAGGGTGAAAAACAGTTTCACGGCAGAATGGACACTTAATTAACCACTGTATTCCTGAAACGATTAAGTTCAATTTTAGAGTTATACTATTGAGAAGAATTAAGTATCTATGGGATAATTGTTTAACAAAAAACTATCATACTGTCCTTTTCCTCCTGGTAAGAACATTCAGCCGCCATCTTGTCTTCGATGTACTGTTTTACGAAAGGAAAGACTGTCCTCTCAAGGGGGACAGCGAGGCTACAATAAACTCACTTTCATCGTAGAAATACCTCGATACCTTAAGGTGGCTCGACTGGATTTTTTTGTGGGGATACCTCCCAAGTTTGAGCATTAACTACGTCGCCATGAGTAAAGATATGGAAAAAAAGTTTCCATAACTGTATTATACAAAGATGAAAAATTCTTATGATTTGGGTTTTATTGCAATCGGAGTGGCCATGGCAACGTAACGACGCCATTACGTTTTTTATTTATCTTTGTGTTTCTCTGTGCCAGGAGTTTTTTTTAAGAAATCGCTCAAGGGAGTTTGTACCTGCTATAATTGCCTCAATTTTGGCAAAGTTTGAACAAATTCTATGAGAGCGTTTTCGAAATATTTTGAAACGAAGTTTTAAGCATCATAAAAACAGTGAAATAGAATGCTATCCACACAATTCGCTAATTTTTTAAGAAAATGATAAGTTTTGGAAACGCGGCTTCGTCTCATAGTGGTTTGATTCCATTGAAAACTGTGTACAAAAAAAAATCTGGGGGAAAAATTGGTTATATTTGAAGCCCTATTTAAAAGCCTTCCCTGTTTTCAATGTTCTGGAAACTCGCAGGGTATATTTATTGACGATTGATCTCGGGATTTTCCAGTTTATAAAAAAATTTATGGAGCGGTTTTTTGGAAAATGCAAAATTTGTAGGCCTGGACCAAATTACATGCAAAAACTTTTACAAAAGCAGCTGAATGCAAGTTAATAAAATTCTTCTTACTCGCGATCGCCCAGAGCAATTCCCCTCTGTTTTTGTACCCAGTTTTCAATGGAATCAAACCACTATGAGATGAAGCCGCGTTTCCAAACCTTATCGTTTTCTTTAAAAATTAGCTAATTGTGAGGATAGCACGCTATTTCACTATTTATATGATGCTTAAAACTTCGTTTCAAAATATTTCGAAAACGCTCTCATAGAATTTGTTCAAACTTTGCAATAATTGAGGCAATTATGGAAGGTACAAACTCCCTTAAGCGATTTCTTAAAAAAACTCCTGGTGCAAAGAAACACAAAGATAAATAAAAAACCAAATGGCGTCGTTACGTTGCCATGGCGACTCCGATTGCAATAAAATCCAGATCATGAGAAATTTTCATCTTTATATTTCTTTGGTTGTCTGCGACAGAATTGTCAGATGGGGGTTGGTTCTCTGAAGTCGATCGGTTTCTTGGGTTGTCTGCGGCAGAATTGTCAGATGGGGGTTGGTTCTCTGAAGTCGATCGGTTTCTTGGGTTGTCTGCGGCAGAATTGTCAGAGGAGGGGTGGTTCTCTGAAGTCGATCCGGTGATCTGTAACACTAGATATCACAGAATGAAATGCGAGAGATTGACATATGTTAGGATAACTAATGACGGAAAATTTTTTCTAGTAAGACACAGAGGTACATCTAGGACTTCTTGTTTACTGGTCATATTTTTGTTTCAATGCATGTTTGCAGTGATATACTAATTACTTGTCTCAACCTTGGGGAAAATGCATTTATAGTCTTGTCTCCTGTGTATCAAGCGATACTCTGCCTAGGGTTGATGCTCACGGGCTGTTGTGCATGGGAAAACTATCGACTGTTAAGAAAAATTTGTATATCTAAACATTATTGATTCACCCTACACTTTAAATTGCATAATGAATTATTCAGTAAGTATTAGTCAGGTAAGTCAATACTTATGTTTCGTTAGCCATTTTCTTCCACAAGCACTTTTATCACTCTATGCATGGTGTCAAAGTGTTTCACAATTGACGTCTGTAGTAAACTGACAGCCGAAGACGCCGTAGCTTTACTGTAGATTTCACACGTTTTGCCACGAGGAAATTCCCAAACTACTGCCTAAAATCGTAGCAAGACCAGCAAAAAATACCACTTAACGGATCACGACTGCTGCAAGAACTCTTCTTTTCATGCAATTGACTTTGAGACTCACCTTCTTGAATTTGGGTCCGAACTTCAGAGGGGAAAGACGAGAGATAAATGCAGATGCAACTCTCCATCTTTCCCCCAATCCGCCGCTTCTGACTCGTCTTCCCCAACTCAGGATGTTTCTTAATGATCGCATGTAAGGTTTCCCGCTCGCTAATGTCAAGCGGGAAATTTTCCTTCCCCATTATCACGGTCTGCCTCCAGTTTTCAATGGAATCAAACCACTATGAGATGAAGCCGCGTTTCCAAACCTTATCGTTTTCTTTAAAAATTAGCTAATTGTGAGGATAGCACGCTATTTCACTATTTATATGATGCTTAAAACTTCGTTTCAAAATATTTCGAAAACGCTCTCATAGAATTTGTTCAAACTTTGCAATAATTGAGGCAATTATGGAAGGTACAAACTCCCTTAAGCGATTCCTTAAAAAAACTCCTGGTGCAAAGAAACACAAAGATAAATAAAAAACCAAATGGCGTCGTTACGTTGCCATGGCGACTCCGATTGCAATAAAATCCAGATCATGAGAAATTTTCATCTTTATATAATACAGTTGTGGAAACCTTTTTTCCATATCTTTACTCATGGCGACGTAATTAATGCTCAAACTTGGGAGGTATCCCCCCAAAAAATCCAGTCGAGCCACCTTAAAGAACATGTTTGTGGAGCGTAGCACCCAATACACGTCATTCAGCTCCCGAAAACGGCCTGCAGCGGCTGGTACTGAACGTACACAAATCACAGAAAATGCCTCTGTGGCAATCTCTGTGGCCCTTCAACAGCCGATATTGACGCATGCGCATACAAAATGCCCCCCTGTTGGATAGTAGACGAGCGAAGCGCGTGAAAACCACCCCACGGGAGAAAGGCGAGACGCGGCGGTGTCTCTCCCCACCACGTCCCGCCTTTCTCGCGTGGGGTGATTTTCACGCGTGCTCGCGTTTCTCTCGCTCCACTGAGTAAAAATGGGGGCTACTCGTCGTCTATGTTTGGAACCCGTGATGAAGCACGAAGCCCGAGCTTTTGACCTAGTACATCGCATGTATCTTATTCAAGCCCCCGTAATAATGGTCTATTCATAGTGCCTTCCGGACGGTTATGATATGAGTTTGATAACAAAATTGTACTGTTGATATCATAGTTCTTCCAAGTAAAAATATCACCATCTCCTTCTTTCCTAAAAAAGCAACAGTTCTCCCTTTCCATAAAAGTCACCTTAAGTTATCCCTTGATCCCTATATTCCCTCGAGAGACTAGCATAACTACACCAGTTTTTTTTCCCTTATCCTATTTTGGTTCTTATAATGTTTTTAATCCTTATTATTAGGAAACTACTTAAACGTTTTGGCATACCAGTCAGCCACCTCGCTAAAAATCTTCAAAACAGATTTGAGTCCCGGGGCATTTTTGCCACTGACAGACTTAACCTCAAGCAAAGAGCATTCCCTGCTCTTAATCAAGGACGATTCCAGAATTCAACCTTTGAACAGATGATTGAGTATCTATTTAGTCACCGAAGAGAGGCAAATAATTTCGTAAGCTCTTACGACTTTTTCTCAGAATATCTTACGCCAGAAGGCTTCCAGTTATTTTCCCACATCGCTGGATGGTTACCAGACTATAATAACCAGCCCCAGCCAAGATCTTTTCTAGCACGTATGGTTAATACTGCAAATTTCAAGTATAACTTTTGGAGACCTGACAGCGGTTTATCGGAAATTACACGAGCTTTGAAAACGTCTGCTACTAATCTTGGAGCGAGAATTTACAAAAAAGAAGAAATTAAAGTAATTGAGGAAAACCGGGAAGAGCAATTTAAACTGAATACAACGAAGTACAGAGTAAAAGCAAATAAGCTGGTTGTAGCAATACCTCCCCAGCCCATGAAGCAGCTCAAAGGCTCTGTGGCCGAAAAGATTCAAAAGGACTCCATCTTTCAGTCTGTTGGATTAACGTTGTCATTTAAAGGGTTCGCCGTGTTTGAGGAGGCTTGGTGGCAAGATAATTCTACCGAAAGTCGTTATTTGGCAGACGAGCAAGTGATGATGTCCAACAGTGACTGCTTAGGGTCTATATTCCCTTACAAGTAAGTCAAGTGGGTATGGTTCTCTAGCTGTACATTCAGTAAGAATCCTTTTCAACCTCCTTCCTCGACAACATGACACTTAAGGCCCAGTTCATACGTCGTGCCTCTGCCGTGCCGAACCTAGTCAATATTGGGTTCGACAGAAGCACGGCACAAGCTCGACTTCAATTCAGACGTCGTGCCAGAGTCGAACTTAAAGGGGCTGTGTCATGGCAGTCCAGTTCATTTTGTTTAATTTTGCCCGTTAATCGGCCTCAACCGCTATGGAACTTAAAGTAAGCAAAGAAATTACATGTAAATGAGAAAATCAGAGATTCAAGACAGACAAATATGTCTCCTGAGCATTATTTATGAAGTTGCAAACAGCAGAGATCAACTTTGAAAAACTGTTAGGCTGAACAGTTCAAAAAACCTTATTTCCATTCGTTTCAATCATTTTCAGTTTTGCCCATCCATGGCATCTGCTGTATCTGTTGTGTTATTCGAACCTTCCTTTAATGTTTTATAAATTTAAGCGGTTATTTTTATGTTTCTCTTAATTTAACGGACATTTTGTAATTACCTAATGTGTCTTAATTTCGTGACACAGCTGCTTTAATTCAGTGTTCGCACAGTAGTCAGTACAGCGGTAAGCGGTGACGAAATGGCGCCGCAACATAAACTCCAGCGTAAATTTCCACTTGTAAAACTCTTACAAAACTCGAGGAGGCGAAGAAAAGAAATGTAGCAGAAAATCCTTTTCTTTTTGACCGTCAGGCTAGTGTTATTATTGGAAGTTTTTTGATATCATTGCTGCTCTTCATATTTCTCCCGAGAAAACCGCCGATCGCCTCCTCGATCTTCATCTTGTTCTTTATAACCAGCAGCTAGTGGTATATTTTCTTTGAAAGGTAGTTCGTCTTCTGATGAATTAACGGACTCTGCAGCATTGCAAACCAACGAGCCATGTTTGTTATAAACCATTCTCGACCCCAGTGCTTACGCTTCTGATTGCTGGCCGTCATGCGCAAAGGAGCTCTTGGATAATAAATAGACTCAATGCACATGCTGATACCCGCGAAAACGCATTTCCAAAATTTATGCATCAGGTTCGACATGGCATAAGCACGACGTTTGAATTGCTGCCGTGCCAGAGTCGTGTAGCACGGCAGACATTGTCGAACTTAATTGTTCTGCCGCACCAAATTAAAAACTTTAATTCAGACGTCGCGCTTCTGCCGTGCTTATGTCGAACTTAATCAAAGAATTAAGTTCGGCAAGGCAGAAGCACGACGTATGAACTGGGCCTAAGTCGCGTGCAAATTATATACTCGACCCTCAAAAACAAAAGAAAAAAAAAGAACACTGAGGATAATATCGTAGTAAGAAAAATAGTAAGTTGAAGAATAAACATAAACGAATTGTACACGGATTGTCGAGATCGAGGATACGAGATCAAGCTCAAGATATTAGGCTTTCTTTTCGAACTTTGAAGCCAGTTTCACGTAGAATCTGGCGCCAAGACGTCCACAGCACGTATGTGAAATCCTAGTGAAACAGAGGTTATTCAGTTTAGCTCTCGTTCCGTGAAAAATCCAATTCGTGATTTTCGATTGTCAACGCTAGAGTAAAACCATCAGACCCAGATTGTAATTTTGGTGTCAACCTAAATGGACAGTTCAATCTTAAACGTTAAGGCACAGGAAGAACTCAAGATCTACTTCTAAGGAAAATTTCATGGACTTTATCGTAGGGAGAGAGGTTTTTGTTGTATTTGGTTGGGAACCAAGATCATCTAACATCTATACGTAAGAACATCTGGCTTCGATAGCCTTAAGAGGTCACTTTGGCTAATCATTCGTAAAGAGTTTTGGGCAAATATAAAATAGTTTTTAAGGAGGCTGTGCGTGTCAAAATATTCTATCAGACCAGGTAATTTTCATCGTTTAGTTCGAAAAAAATCCCACCCCTGTGTATCTTAAACTCGTGTGATTTACAGACTTACTGCCCTGGCCAGCTGATAGACTGGTCAAGACTGATAGACTGATATCTTAGGAGGAAAGTAGGCCCGGGAGAGATAGTCACGTAGCGCTGAGTCAACTTAAGAGAACGGTTGTATATCAGAAAAATGTAAAGCCCTTTGCTCGAGCCAACAGCGTTCACGCATGCTCTGATTGTCTCGCCTT